CTGCAGAGACAGCGAAAGCAGACCCAGCGCCGGCGCAGGCGGTGGGGCCCTCAGACCGCCGCCGCAGAAGAGACCCAGGGGCCTTTCTTGGGGTGTACAGACAGCTGAGCAGCGAAGAAGAAAGAAACAAAGGAGGGAAGGCAGCAGCAGCAGCAGCAGCAGCAGCTGCAGCAGCAACAGGGGACAGGCGCAGCAGCAGGAAGGTTGCAGCGACGCCGTTCTCGCTGTCTCGCGCAGAAGATTAACAATTAAGAAATTCCTTTTCTTTTCTAATTCTGTTTTATTATTTCAAATTAAAAATAAAACAAACAAATGCAGAAAAGAAGCTGCAGCTTCTGCTGCAGCTGCGGGCGAGGCCTCTTGGCTTGCCCACGGGGCTCCGCTCCAGCTGCCGTGCCGCCTCGACCACCAAAACGCGCCAAAATGCACAAAAAAGAGTTTATTTTAATTTTATTTTTGAATAAAACATAAAAACGTGCTTTTTGTTGACAAAAAGAGCTCTTTTGGGCGTTTCCGCGCGCCCAGAGCCGGCGGCTGCCGTGGGAAACAGGGCCTCGCGCCACCATGGCTAGTCTCGGCTGCGGGCTCTCCCGCAACTGAAATTCAACAATTTGAACTTCAAATTACTTTTAAAATTAAATGTTTTCATTCAAAAGAATTAAATTCAACTTTAACGCGAAAAATAACCGCCAGATCCCGCAGCCGGCGCCGCGCCGGCTCACCGCCGCAGCCGACACGCGGACCAATGGCCTTCGCGCGCCGCCGCCTTAATGGCAAGCTGAAACATCCTTTTAAAGACAATATCAGATAAATATTTCAATTTATTTTCAAATTAGCTTTCATAATATGCCTTTTAGGGCCCCCAGAGGGCCAAATGGGCCCCGCGGCGAAGCGCGCAGGCAGCGGGCTATTGGGGTGTACGTACAGCTGCTGTTACCAGGTGTATGTACACCCCATGCTCTCGCTCTATATCTAAAAGAGCTAAAGACAGTTTAAAAGCTTTTTGTTTAGTGTCTATTTACCTCAAAGCTTTCTTTTTTTCTGTTTTGGGCCCACGTGCTACGGTACAAACCCCAAACCCTAAACCCTAAACCCTAAACCCTAGATTTGAAGAGAAGCCCTTCACACAAAGGTGTCTCTTAAAGTCTTGCCGCAGCGAGCACCCCGGGGAGAGCGGGAGCCACAGAAAGCCTAAAGCCTAAACCCTAAACCCTAAACCCTAGGGCGCAGAGTTCAAGAGCCCGAAGAGCCGCATAGCCACAGGGGCTGGCGGGCCACTGAGATAAACCCTAAACCCTAAACCCTAAACCCTAAACCCTTTGAACGTTGAAGCTGTCGAGTGCGTTGGGCGGCTCATCGACAGCAGGGGCAACCTGCAGCGCAAACCCTTGGACAGCAACTCCCAAAGCTACAGGTCCAAACCCTAAACCCTAACTCCCCAAACCCTAAACCCTAAACCCTAAACCTAAGAACTTAAACCTTGAACCCTCGCTGTCCCCGTTCCTCCGTTGGAGCTCCCGCGTGCCCCGCCTGCCGTCGCCCCTGGAGACGGCGTGCGCCTAGGGTTTAGGGTTTAGGGTTTAGGGTTTAGGGTTTGCCTGGGGCGCGTCGTTGGGGGCCTGTTCGGGTTCGAAGTCATTAGGGTTTCGGGTTTGGGAGGCCCTGGAGCTGAGGGCCCCCCTGGAGTTGGCCCGAACAGCAAATTGTTTTGTGCTTCTGCTGCTCTTAGCAGCAGCAGCAGCAGCAGCAGCAGCAGCAGGGGCCCCACAAGGCAGCATGTAATGTCCTCCGAAGGATTCTTTCGGCAGCACCATCAGACTCGCCCCGTTCAACAGGCTCTGCCCGCCCCCTGTGCAGCAGCCAAACCCTAAACCCTAAACCCTAAACCCTAGACCCTGAACGCTAAACCCGCGGAAAGCCTCCGGATGCGCAGGGATGGCGTGCGCAGGCAGCGGGCCCGCACTGGTGCCTGGGTGTAGGCTGAGGCTTTAGAGTTTAGGGCTTAGGGTTTAGGGTTTAGGGTTTAGGGTTTGGGACCTGGAGCAGCAGCAGCCTCGGGGTTTGCGTCTGCACTCAAACCCTCGGAAACAGACTCCACTGGAACTGCCCCACAATTCCCTTCAAACTGTTCTCGAACAGCAACAGTGGGGTAGAAGTTGAACCAGTAAACCGCCCCTATTAGCCCGCAGCCCCCCACCTGCGCAGCAGCAGCAGCAGCAGCAGCAGCAGCAGCAGCAGCAGCAGCAGCAGCAGCAGCAGCAGCGGCGGCAGGGTTTACCGCTGGCCCGACGCCCGACAGCGGGGGCCGGATCCCGATGCCGGGAGCCGCAGACAGACCCACGCACGACAGCGACTACTGCGAGGCAGGGTTTAGGGTTTAGGGTTTAGGATTTAGGGTTTAGGGTTTAGGGTTTGCTGGCCAGGTTTCCTAGAAGCGTGGGAATGAAGTTGTTCACAACAACAGCTCCCACAGAAATGGGGGCCCCCGCCATGAGGGCCACTTGGAGAGTATAGAAGTTTGCAATAATGTGTTCGTAGCCCCCCACGCAAAACGCCAAAATCGGAAACCTGCGCCAAACCCTAAACCCTAAACCCTAAACCCTAAACCCTAAACCCTAGACCCTAAACCCTAGATCGTAAGCCCTGCGCCCTACGCCCAAGGGTCTGGCACGCGCTCGCCAGGCCAGCTCCGATGCGCGCAGCTACGCAGAGGGATCTTCGTACTCTGCGCGGCTTAGGGTTTAGGGTTTAGGGTTTAGGGTTTAGGGTTTAGGGTTTAGGGTTTAGGGTTTAGGGTTTAGGGTTTAGGGTTTAGGGTTTAGGATTTAGGGTTCTGGGATTTGCGTTTAATTTTCCAGTTTCAGGCCTCAAGGCAGTGCGTGCGGTGTCGGGCCGCGGTGGAGAGCCTAGGGTCAAGCGTTTAGGGTTTAGGGTTTAGGGTTTAGGGTTTGGGTTTAGGGTATTGGTATTTGGGTTTAAGTTTCCAGTTTCAGGATTCGAGTTCGTGCGTAGAGCGTCGGTCCCGGCAGCGCGGACGCAGGGTTAAGCGCTGAGGGTCGCGGGCTGCGGGTTTAGAGTTTAGGGTTTAGGGTTTAGGGTTTAGGGTTTGGGGACCAGAGGGCCATGATTTTGCCGGCGCCGTCGTCGGTGGCGATGACGAACCAGACGGCGAGGCAGACGAAGGCGTTGCAGCCAACGGCTCGCAAAAAACAAGAAAGAAAAGAATAATTAGTTTTATCTTTTGCAGTTTTGAAAAGGAAAAACGAAACATGAGGGTCTGCAAGGGCCCCCGTGAGGTGCGAGAGGAAGAAGGCCACGAACAGGGCCCCCAGCCAGTTCCCCACCAAGCTGAAACTCCAGTTTATTGCCAGTTGGTACACTTTTATGCGCCTTTCCAAAATGCAAACCAACATCGTCATTGTATTTCCCGTAAATAGCTCAGCTCCTGTCCAAATAATGCTAATAAACGCCACGGGAAACAGCATTCCGTACACCAGTTTCTGCACCGCCTTCGGCACCGCCAGCGGGTCCTCCGGCTGCACCGAGAACGCCCCCGCTGCAAACCCACCTCCAAATGCGTTTCAAATGCATTTAATTCCTTTTAAAATGCATTTTAAACACAATGAATCCAAAATGTCGAAAAATCCACCGCGGATTACCCCGGATCGCCCGCAAACCCGAACTCGCCCACCCCGCGATCACCTCGCGACAAACTCGGGAAACTCCAGGAAAAAACCTCTAAGGGGCCTTTTAAACAAATATTAAACTTTAATTCAACTCAAATTAACTCATTTTTCTTTTGTTTTTATTTATTTCTCCATTTATTGCCCCCCGAGCATTCCGAGCGGGCCCCCCTCGAGTTTCAGGTGTATAGGCAGCTCCCGCGCAAGACCAGGCCGGGGCCTGCGGCCGTTCGGCCCTTCTTTTGCGGATTTTTTGTTTTTTTTGCTTTCTGGGAATTATTTTAATAAATATTTGCAGAAGTGCCGGCAGAAAAGAGTTTGGAAGGGGATTTGAGAGGATTAATCGCGAAGAGGCTCACCAATGGTCGTGCAGCAGTGGCCCGCGAGCCCCACGTACACCCCCGCCATGAACGCCTGCAGAAAGAGGCGGTCCAGCCGCAGCCGCATTTTGTGCATTCCATATTCAAGGAGGTGGTAGTAAGTGTCGGGGCTCGCAGTGACCACCATTTTCGCGGATTTTTGGGGATTTTTAAATGTTTTTGAAAGCCGAGGGGCCCCTGGGGCTGCGTGCACTTGAAAGCCGCGTTTATAGACTCCAAAAGGAGCCAAACACAAGTCCGCAAGCCCGAGTTTCAGGGGGGGCTCGCGGGTGGTCACTGCGCCAGCCCCGCGGCCCGGGAGGCCCCGCCGTTGAAAGTCTGCGATAAACGCGAATTAAAATGCAAATTAAAACATTTAAAACATTTAAAATATTTAAGTTAAATTGGTCTCCTTTTTTAATGCAAAAAGAACGAAGAAGCAGCGCCAGAGGCCTCGGAAAGGGTGCGGCGGGGCCCCGGACGGCCGCGCTTGCCCGCCGTGCTCGTGCAGCCAAATCGAATCCTTTTGTTTGTTTTGAATTCTCTTTAATTGAATTCTTTTTAACTTTAATTTTAATTTAATTTAATTTGATTTAATTTTAACTTTAATTTTAATTTAATTCAAATCATCCAGTCGAGACGAAGATCCCCTTCCAGCGATGCTGCAGGTGACCGCGCTTCGGCTCGCCCACCACACAGTCACCCAAACCCTAAACCCTAAACCCCAAACCCTAAACCCTAAACCCCAAAGTAGTGAGTTTCGCCCCTTCAGATCTAAGTCAATTCTCTCTTTTGATTCCGTAAATATTTCGTGTTTTCAATTTCAGGCTGCTGCAGCAGCAGCGGCAACACCGGCAGCAGCAGCAGCAGCAGCAGCAGCAGCAGCAGCAGCTACGGTCAGTCTGTGGCTCTACCGAGGGCCTCCAGCTTTTCTTGAAGCATTTATTTATTTAAAAGCATTAATTGTTTGAATTTTAGTTTTAATAAATACATTTAAAGCTGTTTTTCCATCGAATTTCGCAAACCCTTTCGGGCCAGACACCCACCCGGCTTCTGGGGTGTACGTACACCTCGGTGAAGCATCTGCTGCAGCTGCGTGCTGATCTTTCGCAAGCCACATTATTACTTCTTTGTTTTTCATTTTTGAATATCAAAAAGCAAAAACAAAACAAAAAGAAAGTCCTGCATGCAACGCCGCCTCCGTTGCCCCAGCGGCACACCGAGGCCAGCAGCAGCAGCTGCTGCTGCTGCTGGTCTCGGTGTGCCGCTGCAGCAGCAGCTGCTGCTGCTGCAGGACCATACCAAGCAGCAGTAGCACAAGCTGCTGTAGCTGCAGCTTGCGCAGCCAGACCCGCAGCGGCAGCAGCCGCAGCAAGCGTTGCAAAGCTGCAGCAGCCGCCCCTGCAACAGCTGCCCGGCAGCAGCAGCTGCCCCAGAAGCAGCAGCTGCAGCAGCAGCAGCAGCAGCAGCAGGGGCTCAAACTGTGAGGCGCTTGCAGGACCAGTAGGCCCAGCAGACTGCGTGGACAGCTAGCGTGCAGCCAGCTAGCGGCAGCACATCAGCTAGCCAAAACCACTCCGAACTTTTTAATTTCGAATTTAAAAAAGAACCTCCTAATCCATAATCCGAGAAGAAGTCTTGTGCGCTGTAGTAGCCAAACGTGGCCGCGCGATCGGGGTCCTAAACCGCAAAAGCCGAGGGTTTAGGGTTTAGGGTTTAGGGTTTACGGGTTGGCTCAGGGCTGCGGGGTGTGCCCTGGATCTTAGGGTTTCGGGCAGCGGCAGCTGCAGCAAACAGCTCCTGCTGCTGCTGCAGTAGACGCGGAGGGTCCCCGCTGGCCAAGCGAAAAAAGGATTTAGGGTTTAGGGTTTAGGGTTTAGGGTTTACTCACCCCAAAAATGGCTTCGTTGTCGTCGTAGAGCGCAATGGCCAAACCCTCAAAAAGGTAAAAGTAAGGAGACAAAAACAACAGAAAACGGAGGGGAGCAAGCACGGACCTGTGCACACGTCTCAAACCCTAAACCCTAAACCCTAAACCCTAAACCCCCAAACGGTGAAAGTTCGTGGGTCGTAAACCCTCAAGGCCTAGACTCTAACCCCTAACCTCGCGCATAGGCTGCAAACTCGCCAACGCCCTGCACCACTCCGCCAGCCCCAAACCCTAAACCCTAAACCCTAAACCCTCGCTGTTTCTTGCCTAGGGTTTGCGTTGAGCCCGTTGAGCACAGAAGTCAGAAAGAGCCAGCCACCCCCAACTGCATTGACAGCCATAAATGTGTCCATTGTTGCTGAGCAAAGCTGCATTACAGAGTCCACAAACTGCAGCAGCAGCAGCAGCAGCAGCAGTAGCAGCAGCGCCGTGAATATCGCAGTCCCAGCAGCGACAGCAGCAGCAGCAGCAGCAGCAGCAGCAAAGCGCGGATACCAACAAGAGGCGCAGGAAAAGGCAGAAGGCCCTTCAGGCAAACATAGGCTTGCCAAAAACTGCAGCAGCAGCAGCAGCTGTTGCTGCTGTTGCTGCTGTTGCTGCTGTTGCTGCTGCTGCTCTCGGCGCACCAACTGCAGCTTTGGCGACACCAGCAGCAACAGTGGCACAACGGTAGTACCAGCAGCAGCAGCAGCAGCAAAACACGCGGTTGCAACTGCAGCACAAGCAGCAGCAGCAGCAACAACAGCAGCAGCAACAGCAGCAGCAGCAGCATTACTTACTGCTTCGAAAATAAAGTAGATAAGAAAGGCAGCAGGAAATCTGTCAAAGGGAAAATTGCAAAAAACGAAAACAATTAAAAGCGAAGGCAGCAGAGTGGCCGTCATCACCAAACAACTCGTTATGCCCTGCGCACAAACCCTAAACCCTAAACCCTAGACCCTAAACCCTAAACCCTAAACCCTAAGCCTGAACCCCTAAGCAACACAGCCTTGGCGCAAGCCTGTACCCAAGCGCCATTCCGGCTTCCTCGAAGCCCAAAACCCGAGCTCCAAATCCCAAACCCTAAACCCTAAACCCTAAACCCTAAACCCTAACCTCTGCAAGCAAGTAGGGCCCCGGGGAATAGAAGCCGTCGGCGACTTCGTGCATGAACAAAAGTTTTCTTTCCAAATATGTGACAGTGTTTACAAAAGGAATAATGCTGAGAGCTATGCACATCTGCAGCAGCCAACACAAACCCTAAACCCTAAACCCTAAACCCTAAACCCTAAACCCTAAACCCAAGACCCCGAACCCTAAACCCTCGCCCTGCTTCGGGTGGGCCGTCTGCAGTGCTCGTTTGCCTTTGACGCCGAAGTCCTAGGGTTTAGAGCATTTCAAATTTAATTTTATATAATTTACTTTGTATTAATTGCCACTTATTTTTAAATAATATATATTCAACCATTTACCTATACATATACAAATATATATACATATATTTATATATAATAGTGAAGCAAAAGCAGGCACTCATATATATATACATAGGGTTTAGGGTTTAGGGTTTAGGGTTTAGGGCTTACGAGGACGTGGGCGGAGAGTTGGTAAAAGACGGGGGCTCTGTGGAAGGCTCGGAAGAAAAGAATTCCAGTAATGAAAGAAAAGAAATAAACTGAAAAGACTGTCAAGAAAAAACTTCTTTTATCTCGAAAAGTTCTTTTGAAAGATCGCTGCAGCAGCAGCAGCAGCTGCAGCAGCCACGGCGCGCGGTGTCTGCGCAGACACCCCAGCGCCCGCACTTTCGAGTTCCGGAAGTTTATTCATTTATTTACATTTAAATGCATTTGTTTAAATCTATCTTATTTATTTTGTTTTTTATTTATTTTTATCTTCGGAAGAAAAAAAAAGACACAAAAAGTCCAAATTTTGAAAATTTCGAATCAAAAAAGTGCAAAGGCATGCACTCATCTGCGCATTGTATGTACACCGCACAGGTAAGAGAAGGAAAAGTCATAAACCCTAAAAGGGAGGATATAATCATAAACCCTAAAAGGGAGGATATCGGCATGAACCCTAAAGAGGAGGATATAGTCATAAACCCTAAAAAGGAGAATATCGTCATTGCCAAAAACTCTAAGGAGGAGGATATAATCACAAACCCTAAAAAGGAGGATATAGTCATAAACCCTAAGAAGGATGAAAGAGCCATAAACCCTAAAGAGGAAACATTTGAAACTCAATCTTCAGCATTATTTATTTAAGACTCTTTGGAATTATAAATAAAATAAATAAAATAAATTAAATAAATTGAATAAATTTATTTTCATTTTCATTTTGCTGCTGCTGCTACTTTAGTTTCTGAGCTGTACAGACACCTCGCGCGCTGGATCTGCTGCACTTTTGGATCTTTTTTCCCTTTTTTTGATTCTTTTAATTTATTTAATCCTTTTTTACTCCTTTTAAACATATTTTAATACCTTTTTGTCTCTTTTTTGTCTATTTTGTTTCTTTTTATCTATTTTGTTTTTTATTTTACTTCGCAGCTCACCTGCGAACGCTGGCGTCTCCAAACAGCAGCAGCAGCTCTTCTTCGTTGCTTCTTACTGCTGCTGCTGCTGTTGCTGCTGCTGTGACTGTTGCTTCTTTTTCTTTCTGCGCTATTGCTGCTGATGCTGCTGGATCTCCCTCTGTTGCTGCTGCTGCCGCTTCTGGATCTCCCTCCATTGCAGCAGCTGCTGCTGCTGCTGGATCTCCCTCCATTGCTGCTACTGCTGCTGCTGCCGCTGTTGCTTCTTCTTCTTCATTTGCTGCTGCTGTTGTTGTTGCTGCTGCTGCTGCGCTTTGCCTTTTGCTGGTGCCTGTTTCGTCCGCGTCCTCGAGCAAATCTGCTGCAGCAGCAGCAGAAGTGTACATACACTCGAATACAACGACATAAAAGTCCAAAAACACTTTTTGAAGATGCAAAAATATAAAACAAATGCAATTGAAAAGAATAAAATCAAACAGGATATCTAAAATGATGCAAAATGGTAAGAAAAGAACTAAACGGCGAAAAAATTATTTGGTGTAGCAGCAGCAGCAGCAGCAGCAGCAGTGGTTTCAAGCATGCACAAGTGGAACTTTTGCCCTTAAGAATGTCATTATTACTCTTAATTAACATTTGTTAATACTCTTAATTGATATTTATTGTTATTTATTGCTATTTATTTTCATCTACTTTATTTGGTTTTGTTTGTCTTTACTTTTATTTGCATTTATAATGCCTTTATGCACTTGAATATAAAATAAAATACTACATTTATATTATACCAATAGTACACTAATATATTATTAACCTTGTGTTAATATAATATAATATTAAATATAATATTGAATTGTTTTATTATTTCAATTTGTTCTTCTGATCTGCTTTCTAACTTGTTTCAGCCCCAGCAGCAATTCCCCAACCCCGAGGGTTTAGGGTTTAGGGTTTAGGGTTTAGGGTTTGGGGTTTAGGGTTTAGGGATTGAGCGGACTGTGGGGCGAGTGTCCTCTGTGCTGGTGGATGGCTTGCATGCGTTTGAGGTGTCTGTACACCTCAGCTTCGAGGGCTGGTTTTTGGAACTTTTCAAAAGCTTCTTTTAATTCATTTAATTTAAAATTTGGACATCCCGGAGTTAACAACTCCACGTAAAACTCCGCGGGGTTTTCGTGCAGAGGCGGGGGACATCCTGCAAAGAAATAAAACTAAAAAAATCAAATTAATTAAATTAATTAAATCAATTAAATCAATTGAATTCATTAGCTTAATTAAATCAACCAAGTGAATAAATTGAACCAATTGAAGCAATTAAATAAATCAAATCAGGAAATACTTTGCATAGACAGAGAGCTAGCTAGCTAGCTAGCTAGCTAGCTGGCTAGCTAGCCAGCTAGCTAACCAGCTAGGTCGCCAGCTAGTTAGCTAGCTGGCTAGCTAGCCAGCTAGCCAACCAGCTAGCTCGCCAGCTCGTTAGCTAGCTAGCTAGCCAGCTAGCTAAGCAGCTAGCTAAGGAGGTAGCCAGCTAGCTAGCTAGCTAGCTAGCTGGGGGCGCACCGAGTGCCGCGAAGTAAGAGGGCATGTCTGCTGCGGGTCCGCTGTAGACGCAAAAGCCTTTGGAAAGCAAAAAGATAAAATCGAAGCAGCAAAAAGCAGCAGCAGGGGGCTGGTGAATTGCCAAAATGAAAGAAGCTCTGCGGGCCCTTGCCAGCTGCTGCAGGCCCCGCAGCAGGCTGCACGCGTCGCTCGAACTCAAACCTGCAGCAGCAGCAGCAGCAGCAGCAGCAGCAGCAGCGGCGGAATTTTCATCATTTGATGGCTATTTTCGAGCAAACAAGTCGCGAATGAGTTTTGAAATTCGAATAAAATGCAACGCTAATGCAAGCAGATTTTCAACTTCAACTTATTTTGAGTTTTGGATGAAAATATAAAACAAAAAGAGAAAAGGAATCAAAAACAAAGAGACAAAAGGTTTAAAAGCAAACAAGATAGAAGACCAAAAAGAATTAAAGACAGAGATCTAAAAGGAGCAAAAACTGGAAAAACGAAAAAATCAAAAAGACCAAAAACAGCAACAAAAGCTGCAAAATAAAGACCAAAAAAAGAACAAAAAAAAAGAACAAAGAGAATAAACAAAAGAATGAGAAAAGAATGAAAAAGGAATAAAAAAGAAAGCAAAAAGAATTAAAAAGAATTAAAAAGAATTAAAAGGAATTTAAAAATAAAATAATTACCTGAAGTGATTTCGTCGCAAAAACAAAGAGAAGCAAAGGAGACAAAAACTTGGCCGGCCATCAGCCGTTTCTTTTGGCCCCCCGAAATGCCCCTTTCTCTCGCGTTGCCCACTTTCTGCAAACCCTAAACCCTAAACCCTAAACCCTAAACCCTAGGCCCCAAATCCCAGAACCCAAAGCCCTAACCCTAAAGCCTAGACGCTACACGCTGCGCCGCGCCCATCGCGCCAAACGCGGACCCTCCCCGAAGCCCTCGGCCCGCACCTAGGTTTAGGTTTAGGTTTAGGGTTTAGGGTTTAGGGTTTAGGGTTCAGGGTTTAGGGTTTAGGGTTTGCCTGGTGGGCGACTTTCTCGAGCCCGAGGAACTGCAGCGTGGCCTGCACAAGTTGCTGCTGCTGCTCTTTGCTGCAGCAAGTCTTCAGGGCCCCACAAAACTCCAAAACTTCAATTGTTTTTTCCTGGCCCGTAAACACTGGCTCCTGAGGTGTACGTACACCCGGCGCCCCAAAATCGAACACGCACGCTACGCCCCACGCCCCGAAAACCGCGGTTTAGGGTTTAGGGTTTAGCGTTTACGGAGGTGCAGGCAGCTAGCTAGCTAGCTAGCTAGCCACCCAGTCAGCTACCTGGGCAAATGGCCACCACGACAGGCATCCAGCTAGCTCGCCAGCTATCCAGCTGGCGAGCTAGCTAGCTAGCTAGCTAGCTAGCTAGCTAGCTAGCTAGCTAGCTAGCTAGCTAGCTTACTAGCCAGCTAGCTAGCTAGCCAGCTAGCTCGTTGGCTAGCTGGCTGGCTACTTGTGAGCACACTGTCTCACGACCAAGGGTTTAGGTGAGGGTTTAGGGTTTAGGGTAGGGTTTAGGGTTTAGGGTTTAGGTGACCTGGGGGAGGTGGATAGCTTTGGAGTTGAGGTGTCTGTACACCGCAGGAAGCCCATCAAGATACACTTTTCCTTTTTTGTCTTTTTGTCTTCCATTTAAACAATTCAATAAAGTTGATTTGCCTCCCCCCGAAGGACCCAGTATCCCCACCACACTCCCAGGCTTTATCACCCCTGCGCCACAAACCCTAAACCCTAAACCCTAAACCCTAAACCCTAAACCCTAGCCCCTAAACCCATTTAAACAATTCAATAAAGTTGATTTGCCTCCCCCCGAAGGACCCAGTATCCCCACCACACTCCCAGGCTTTATCACCCCTGCGCCACAAACCCTAAACCCTAAACCCTAAACCCTAAACCCTAAACCCTAGCCCCTAAACCCATTTAAACAATTCAATAAAGTTGATTTGCCTCCCCCCGAAGGACCCAGTATCCCCACCACACTCCCAGGCTTTATCACCCCTGCGCCACAAACCCTAAACCCTAAACCCTAAACCCTAGACCCTAAAGCCTTAACCCGAAGCCGTACAATAATGTCTTAGCGCTAAACCCTAAACCCTTAATGCTGGACGGTCGACTCTGAGCGCTGAAGGCTGAACCCTGCAGTATGGTGCATAAACCCTAAACCCTAGAACGCAAACCCTAAACCCTAAACCCTAAACGCTGAATCATAAACTCTCAATCAATAACCCTAAACCATAAAGGCTGAACAAAAGTAGCAGCAGCTTGAGCAGCAGCACTTCGGTACCTGCAGCAGCAGCACGAACACCTTGGTACCAGCAGCAGCAGCAGCACGAACACCTTAGTACCAGCAGCAGCAGCAGCACGAACACCTTGGTAACAGCAGCAGCAGCAGCAGCAGCACGCTGGCACCATCGGCAGCAAGATAACCTTAATATCCGCAACGGCAGCAGCAGCAGCAGCAGCAGCAGCACCTGAAATAGGGTGTAGAATTTGCACTGTCTCCGTTTTGCCATTGGGGCCCTTTCTCTTTATGCTGCAGCTCAAGTTGCTGAAGGCGAGGTAGCAGCCTTGTGGGGCTGCAGCAGGTTGTTTGGCTTCTGCTGCTGCTGCTGTTGCTGCTGCTGCTGCGGCGGCGGCGTTGCTGCTGCCGTTGTCAGGCTCGGGCTGCATTTTCGGTGGGGGGGGGAAGCCGCGGTTGATGGCCCAGCAGCAGCAGCTGCAGCTGATGCTGCTTCAGTAGCTTCCCCGGTGCTGCTGCTGCTGCTGCTGCTGTTGTTGCTGCTGCTGCTGCTTTAGTGCGTGTCGGGCCAGTTAGCGGTTTGGTGCTGCTGCTGCTGCTGGTCCAGCCGCTGCTGCTGCAGTTGCTGCTGCAGTAAGTGCAGCGCCTGCTGTAATTTGACCGCGCTGTGGTAGCTTTGCAACTTGTCAATAGCGCAGCAGCAGCAGCAGCAGCAGCAGCAGCAGCAGCTGGAGACCAGCAACAGCAGCAGCAGCAAGCGGCCTCAAGTGTAGAAGCAGCTCGCTGTGAAATAAATAAACAAAATAAATTTAAAATAAAAATGAAATTAAAAGGGAAAATAAAAATAAAAATAAAAGTTTTAAATTATATGGACAAGCAGCAGCGCTGCGCCCCGGGAGTAGTCAATGCAAATCGACGCGTTAGGGTTTAGGGTTTAGGGTTTAGGGATTAGGGTTTAGGGTTTGAGGATTGGGCCGTAGGTTACATTTTTATTTGCATTTCAAGAGCCATATGAGCTAGGGAGGCAAAAGCAGCAGCAGCAACGCTCCTGCTGTTGCTGCTGCTGCTGCTGTTGCTGTTGCTGCTGCAGCGGGGCCCCCTTGAGAGGCCCCCCAGCAATACCCGCTGAAGCTGAAAGAACTGCAAACAAGCCATATGGAAAATTTTCCAGGTTTATTTAGGGTTTAGGGTTTAGGTTTTAGGGTTTAGGGTTTAGGGTTTAGGGTTTAGGGTTTAGGGTTTAGGGTTTAGGGTTTAGGGTTTAGGGACCAGACACACTTTTTTAGTGACTCGATGGTTCCTGAGGATTCACAGAGGAGAAAGCCAGCGACAGCAGCAGCAACAGCAGCAGCAGCAGCAGCAGATAACACAAGCTGCGGATCTGGAAGCATGAAGTGACCGCTGCAGCACTGCAGCAGCAACACTGGCAGCAGCACCAGGAACAGCGGCAGCAGCAGCAGCAGCAGCAGCAGTCGTGTGGGGCCCCCTTCGGCCCGCTTAGCAGCATCAATGCAGCAGCAACTTCACCTGCTGCTGCTGCTGCTGCTTGTGTTACTTGCTTCTGCAGCTAACTGCCTCCGTACCCAACAAAAGGGGGCCCCCATCGGCTACGGGGGGGGCCCTGGGGGCCCCCCCTGCCTTTTTCTGCGGAGGCATCCAACTTGCTGCAGCAGCAGCTGCAGCAGCAGCAGCAGCAGCAGAGCCGGACAGCCGTTGCTGTCACGAGGCGTAGCAGCAGCAGCAGCATTGACTCCAGCTGCAGCTGCAGCAGCATGGCCCCGAGCAGCATCAGCAGCAGTGGGACAAGCCCCAACTACGGCGTCCAGAGCAGCAGCAGCAGCAGCAGCAGACGCAGCAGCAGCAGCAGCAGCAGAGGAGAGGCTGCTGCGCAACATCGCCATTGTGGCTCATGTTGATCACGGCAAAACGACCCTTGTGGATGCGCTGCTGGCTTTTGCTGCTGACCAGCAGCAGCAGCAGCAGCACAGGAAGCCGGTTAGTCCTTACACCTGCAGCAGCAGCAGCAGCAGTAGCAGCAGCAAGTGGAGGAAGCCGCTGTCACCTCCACAAACAGAGGAAATTCATCACCAGTCATTACTCATAATTTTCCAGTCGTTATTTATTTATTTATTTATTTATTATTTTGTTTATTTGCTTTTTAGTCATTAATTGCATTTTTTATTTAGTCGTTTATTCTGGGGTGTACGTACACCAGGCGATGAAGCGGCGACTCTGCAGAGAAGAACTTGAGCGCGAAAGAGGCTTTAATTAATTAATTAATTAATTATTTTATTTATTTAGTATTTATTTTTAATATGTTTGCTCATTTATTTATCAATTTTCCAACTTTAAATTGATTTATTTGCATTTATTTTTTTGTTTTTCGGGTGTACGTACACCAGGCGATGGAGCGGCAGCTCGACAGAGAAGAACTTGAGCGAGAAAGAGGCTTTAATTAATTAATCTATTTAATTATTTTCTCATTATTCATCATCATTTATTTTTTTATTTATTTATTTATTCATTTAATTGCCAATTATTAGTTGTTCATTCCGAATAATTTATTTGTTTTTCGGGTGTATGTACACCAGGCGATGGAGCGGCAGCTCGACAGAGAAGAACTTGAGCGCGAAAGAGGCATCACTATTACAGCCAAAGTGGCTGCGCTGACTCTGCCGCTGCCCTTCCGCAGCAGCAGCAGCAGCAGCAGCAGCAGCAGGGTTGGTCGCATAAACATTATAGACACTCCGGGGCATTCGGATTTCGGGGGCGAAGTCGAGCGCGTGCTGCACCTCGCCGACGGCATTCTTCTTGTTGTTGATGCCAACGAGGTTTGCTGCTGCTGCTGCTGTTGCTGCTGCTGCTGCTATTGCTGCTGCTGCGGCTGTTGCAGTTGCTGCGGAGGTTGCTGCAGTTGCTGCTGCAGCCAGCGCTTCTGCTGCTGCTGCTGCTGCTTCAATGGTTCTCGTATCTGATGCAGTTGGGATTGCTGCTGCCGCTGCTCCTCCTGTAGTGATGCTTGCTTCTGTTGCTGCAGGGTCTGCTGCTGCTGGTGATGCTGCTGCTGCCGGGGTTGCTGCTGCTGCAGCTATCGTTGCTGAGCCGTTGCTGCTGCAGCACTTTCACTACTTTGTTCACCACTTTCTTTCTACACCTCCTTGCCGTGCACTCCTCGATGCGCAGAGCTGCTGCTGCTGCTGCTGCTGCTGCTGCTGCTGCTGCTGCTGCTGCTGCTGCAGGGCCCAAAGCCGCAGACTCGCGTGGTGCTGCAGAAGGCCCTGCGCGCGGGGCTGCGTGCTGTTGTGGCCATCAACAAAGTTGACAGGCCCACTGCTAAGCCAGAGTCAGTTGCTGCTGCTGCTGCTGCTGTTGCTGCTGCTGCTACTGCTCAGTTCTCTGAGGCGGCTGCAGTGAGCGCTGGCAATGATGCTGCAGGTGCTGCATCTGCAGCCTGTAGACGCAGCGGATTTGCTGCTGGTGCTGCTGCTTTTCCCGCTGCTGCTGCTGCTGATTGTTTCAGGGTTTTGGCGTTGTTGGTTCTTGTGTTGCGGCTGCTGCCCATTCTCTGTGGAATACAGGGCGTTGTTTTGCTGCTGCTGCTGCTGCTGCTGCGCTGCAGGGAGGTGGCGGCTCGCGTTTTTGATCTTTTTCTGCAGCTCGATGCATCTGATGAGCAAGCAGATTTTGAGGTGACCTGCTGCTGCTGCTGCTGCTGTCACTGCTGCTGCTGCTGCTGCTGCTGCTGCTGTTTCTTTCTTGTTCCTGTCTTACTGTCTGTTTCCCTTTTTTCCCCTCCCCTATTTTAGTTTGTGCTTCGTTTTGTTCTATTTTTATTTTTATTTGGATCATTTGGTTCAATTCGATAAATTTGAGTTCTCCTTGAGTCATTTTGACCCATTTGCTGCTGCTGCTGCTGCTGCTGCTGCTTCAGGTCATTTACACCTCCGCCCTTCACCGCTGCAGCGGCCCCTCACCTGCTGCCTTGGGGGCCTCTATGGGGCCCCTGGTGGAAGCCCTTTTCAGGCTGCCGTTGCCGCACCCCCCCGCAGCAGC